GAGAGAGAGAGAGAGAGAGAGAGAGAGAGAGAGAGAGAGAGAGAGAGAGAGAGTAGTAAATAAGGGGATAGAGGGGGGAGAGATTTTTTTTAAAAAAAATGGTTTTTTTGCAAACTTACATCAACCCCTCTCTATCTAGATGTGTGGACAAGATCAGTCCACATCACTACCAAGTTCAATGGAGAAACTTGGTACCAAGTTTCTCCATTTCTCTCTCTCTGTCTCTATATATATATATGTGTGTGTGTAAGTTATTTTTTTCCTCAAAAATCACCTTACATTTAGGGTCATTTTATGAAAACCACTTTATATTTTCAATTTATGCCTAAATCACTTGCAAAGTCACTTTTCATTCCATTCAACCACCTAAACCTACTTTGCTGCTAAAATTTCAGATTTCTTTAAAAAACCAACAATGCCCTCACCTATTCTCACATGTAATGCACTTGATCCCCTCTTAACCAGACCCCTAATGACATCAACGTCTAAAAAGTGAGGGGAATTGTTGGGACTTCTAAATTTGAGGAGGGAAGTGGGGTCAAGTGGTTGATTGGAACAAAAACTAACTTCGTAGGTGGTTTAGGTATAAATTGAAAATACAATATGGTTTTCGTAAAATGACCCTAAATATAATGTGATTTTTAGGGGAGAAAATCCTATATTTTTTTAATAAAATTGATGATTTGAGGCTAATTTGACAAATACTAAGATCTGAGGATAGTTTTGCAGATACCCATAATTTAAAGGGCATATATGTAAAAACCCCATCATTAAATTACTGTTCTTATAAATGTTTCAAATTAATCCCTCACTCAAGTGCAGTAGCCAAGAATCAAAGGACCTAGTAGAAGTTTCAATGACTTGGGGGGATTAATTTATTAAAAATTTAAGGGAATAATATAAAAAACTACTTTATTAGTTCCTAGGGTTTTAGGCTTCTTTGAGAAAAAAATTAATCAAAACTCCAACCCTAATGGGGACAAAAAAAGTCTACAAAAAGAAGCTCTAATCCGCTAACTTGCACTACAACCCCTCGATGCGTCTCTCTCATTGATTCTAACTCCGTTATTTTCTGGGTTTTTTTTTTGAAGTTTTTCATTACCTTTGGTTTATTATTGCATTAGGAATCTAAAAGTTTATTTTTATTGATCAGAGAAATGGAGAGTGGACAATAACTTCAGTCCTTCACGATTTATCTCAAATTGGCCTGATTCTTATGAATTGATAAAATATTTTGCTTCAATTGAATTTTTTTTTTTTTGATGTAGGTTGGTTTTGCGATTGGTGCCTTGCTCAACATTGTACTTGGATTCAATACAGGAAATTATTTTTTCCTTTTTTGTGTGCTTTTATGTTTGATTTTTTTAAGATGTTTTTTTTGTGGGATTTGTTACAGGGATTCCTTTGGTTTAGAAGCATGCGAAAGGACCCAACTGAGATCCAAGTGGGTGCACATTGCTACCGGGTAAGGATTGATTGAAATTTTTTGAACCTGATTCATTTGTTTATAATAATGTTCTATGGAAAAAGTTGATTTTGTTATGCAAATTGAACGTTTAGTGTTTTATATGCGAATGATATATTCAATTCAGCATTATATAATTAGTTTGACATATTGTGTGTTGCTTTATTAGAGGGTCGTAGTCATATTTTATTGTTTTCATAGTAGAGAATCAAAAGAATTATACTTTAGTTTTGTCTCAAAATTTGATGATTGTTGGAGTCTTCTGCTTCTAAACTTGATATGAAAATATTCGAGATGAGTTGTGGAGATTAGCCAATGTAATATCACTAAACTTATCTAAAAAATCTCCTGAACACTTTTCCTTCTTGTTCTCAATTTTTAGTTTCCCTTTTCGTTCTCAATTTTTAGTTTCTCTAGGAAAAAACCTATCTATCTTGTTCGTTTACTGCAGTTCTTTGATTTGGCTAATCAGCTTGCTTGCATTTTTTTCATTAAACCATGTATGTGAAATCTGTGAATCATAGACTACACAAAGCAAGGAAATTAATGATGTGGTATGATGAATTGATGATCACCATAGCATTGGTGCACCTTCCATATTGGTGATTAGGCACCCTTCAAGCTAGAACCATAAAAACAAATCAGTATCATTGCATTAAGCGTCACAAGTCTCCTAAATTTCATGTGACGTTTTAAGGCTTAAAAAATTGTAGTGGAATATAAGCTTGCCTGCCTGATCCTTTATCATTTTATGTTTTCACAAAATATGGTAGGAACTGACATATGGAACAAAAATATTAAGATAAAAAAAACTCTATAACTCCTAGCTTCTCATCAAATGGAAGCAAAAGGAAATTTGACATTCTACTAATTAAAATCATCGGTATATGGCATCAAAATTTTCATCCTCTAATCTTGAGACAAGGTCCAAATTAAAGAGAGGGGCACCAATCTAACTCCTAGCCCATCATCGACTGAGTGCCATCGTCTGTTACGCCATAACTTGTGCACATGAGTCTCAAACTAAGTTCTTCAATAACAAATGTATAGATGCCGACAAAATCCATCTTTTGTAAAAAGTTCTGGTGCTGGTCAATGATATTACGACATCGAGGTTTACGTTGCGTTGTTTTGATCATAGCAAACTAACCCATGTCCTCCTAATAGACTGACTAAAAACATTGGCTGTTCTCGTCCATATATAACCCCCAATACCATCTACTAATATGAAATTTGCCCAATTACTTTAAGTATTCTCAAATCCCACGACTTCAGAAAATTTCCCAAAAAATCTAACCAGAGAGCAAACAAGTGTTTTTACTGAAACTCAAGATAATAGACAAATCCACAATTTACTAAAACTCAAGGTAATAGATCAAATTCACAACATCCTTAAAAAATAAAAAGACTGAAAAAGAGATGAAAGCACATGCTAATGCTAGTTATTTCGAACCTGAACGAAGTAGCCTGCAGAAACCCTAGCCTTTTCCCCTGATTCGAAAAAGTGATCGCTTTAGATTAAATCGGGGAACTGCGATGAAAAATCTAAAAAATAGGGTTTCGAGGGTCAAGAAAAAGAACCTCTTTGATCTCTCACGCGAATCGCTGGGGGGCTGAAGGCAGGAA